CTACTGCTACTGCTCCTCCTCCTCCTGCTGCCGCTGCTGCGACGACAACGACTACGGCTACCAAATACCAAATGCCGACCACGACTGCAGCGGCTAGCTTTGCCGCTGCCACAAAAACATGTCCGAGCACCCAAAGGCCAGAATGCTAACCCTGGACTTCTCGAACTCACGGGTCAGAGCCCTGCACTGGCCGTGCGCTTCGGCCGATCCTGATTCAGGTCTCAAGGATTGAAAAGACAACCCTAATTGTATTCCGAGAGCAGGACTGCCGTGCAGTTGTTTGAGGTAGACATGCTGTGCTGGCAAGCTTTTTCCCTTCGCTTCTGTGATGCTTGCTGTGCGGATATCGGAGCATGAGGCACGCGATCTAGGGTTTATCCGCGGGCCTTGAGTGAATAGCTTCTAACGTTCATGTTCGATCTTGGAACTGGACACAGTAGTCTATAGTCCTCGTAATACTCAGTGGCGAGCTTTGATACACATGAAAGACTAGGTGCATGCAAAAACCCACCAGGAACCAATGTTGGAACAACCCTATGCCACACAATCAAGAACCACAAGCGCAATAGCAAAAATACGAAGATTCTGCTATTCACGACAGCCTCTTACTGTCAGTGCGAATGTTAGCAGCTGGCAGCGCAACACATACTTTGGTTGTGGCCAGCACTACGGCCTTCGTCCCGGGCGGGGAGGACGATGACTACTTGTCGTAGTAGCTATTGGAATGCTGATCGAACCTTCTGGATTCTACTTCTGCTGCTAGACTCTTACTCGTAGTCTTACGATTAGTCTTGCTCCTGTTCTTACTCTTATCCTGAGTCTGTACTTGCGCTGACGATTACTCCTAGTGTCCTACTCCTTCTCCTGCTCTTACTCTTACTCGTACCCGCACTCTCCCGACATCTACATAATGGTTGTTTGCTTGTCGTCGCGACTATCCCTGTTCTTCGCGCTACAAAGCTCCGATTTTTTATGGGGCCTGCTGCGCTGGCGCCATTTGGAGCTGTGGACGAACTGCTTCGGCCTGCCGTCGAGAAATTTCCAAACTCACGCTGCATGCTACTTTTGTGACTTATTAATTTGGGATCTGATGGATTTCAGCCCGAACAGTGCAGAATAAGGTCGACGATCAAGTGCCCTTAGTGCTCGGGTGAAGCGAACCGGGCCCGGCCCGAAGACCACCCAGAAGACAGTCCCACAACGAAGGGAGGCTGCAGGGTTTAGGGTTTAGGGTTTATGTAGGGCGCAGAACACATGGCACCCTTACAGACTGACCCATCGGCGCTTGCGCTCCATGTGATCACAACGAGCAGGGACTTAGAAGGAACAAGGTGATACCTGGAGTCGAGAGATTGACCGAGACCCCCAGTTGGAGACAAGCAGCACGTCAGGACAGTAAACCCGCCAGATTAATGCCAAGACAGAAAACTTTAGATGATTGTCACAAGCGGCCCTGAAGCCCTAGAGAACCACTGATCCTAAACCCTCTGCAAGACATCCCGCTTCGGATGTTCCTACCTCGGCTTGGTCCACCGTTGACACGTAAGCGGAACCTTTTGCTTCGGGTTGCTGCATGAGGCTTCGAGAGAAGGTTTAGGGTAGAGGGCTTCAGGGATTGGGGTTAAGGTAAGCTGCGTTGCGGGTGTAGGAAGCTGTCATCATTGTATGTGCAACTGTGCCACCAACAGCAGAAGCTGCAAAAACACTGGCATGCTGCCGGGCTTTCAAACTTGAGGGTTTGTTGAAGCGTTTCAGGCCTGACTGAGAACTTTCCTCTACAGCCCCCCACTTTTGAACGTCCTTTTGCTGTGTAGACCGGTATTCAGGCAGAAAATGGCAGAAACCTTGCAAGATACATCACTACGTTGTCGGCCTTTCAGCAAGCTGCCGGCTCGGACTTGGTTTCCGGGCATGGAATCGGATTTAAGTCGTTTTATGGTACAGAAGAGTATCGGGTCTACGATCCGTGTCGCCCAGTAGTCCAACGCTAGGTCACCAGGTAATTCGGAAATCTCCGGGTTCTCGGTTTCATCGGCCTGGGCTTACGGCATCTGCGAAGGGAAGCCTGAACTCAACATCAACAAATGGCTTGATCATCCGTTTATGCCCAAGCCTCTCCTCCCAATAACCTCAGCCTCGACAGGCCTTGGAGTTTGGTAGGACACAAGGGTATGTGACGGTATGTGCTAGAAACAGACATCGAATTTTCAGGTGCAGTGATCAAGTCCCGCTGGATCGCTAACCTCTGAACCCTCACCCCTCAGCTTCAAGAGGCTCCTGCACACCAACATCAGAACACATCTAAAGCTCACAGTGCCCCTTACTGCTGAAATCCTGATTTCTGCTTCTTCTGGTGCTTCTGTTTCACCAAACTCAAGCTAAAACTCTAAGCTCTGAACCCCTAACCTTCAAACCCCTCATTCTGTGCGATGCACCGTCAGCCGCCTGTTAAAACGCCCTGAAACCTCCAGGCTGCAAGTACAAGAAGCCCCAACCCCTCAAGGACATGAGCCCCTTTGGGGCAACTTAGGGCCCGAAGAAGAAGGCAGCGCTTGAATCAACCGCTTAGCCAAGCGACTCTCATCTCCACTGCTTGGCGGTGGGCCACCGGGGTCATCGCAGACCCCACTTGGCTCCTACACATGCTTCATGGGGTTTCGGGCATAGGGTCTACGTCAATCGTGCGACTCTCAAGTCCTGAGTCCAGAAACGATCTCCTACCTGGCATGTTTTCTCTCTGCGTGGGAAGCCCGGAAGGCGCCACGGTCTCCGCTTCAATACAAGGCCAAGAAGAAAAAAAAACCAGGTTGAGGCCCCTCAGCCCGAGATCCCTTAAGCTTGCCCACTTCAGTGCGGAGAGGGCGACATAGACCACAAGGCGCAAGACCTGTGGCAATTGGACCCTTAATGCCACACCTTCGATCTGCTTCAAGCCCCAAACCCCTCATCCCCAAAAGGTTCCTTTAAGGGAAAAAAACCCCCTAAAGCTTAAGGCCTTCCACTCTAAAACTTTCCTCCGCAATGCCCAGCTGCCATCGAACCTGGTGGGGACGGAGCAGTTAAGAACAACAAGAGATGGATTTCTGCACCAGCAGTGTTTGGGCGCACTGCTGTTTGGGCATGTGGGGTTCAGGTTGGCTGTACGGGTCGTGAAGAACATCAGCCCTTCCCAAACCTCAGAGCGCACACCTTCCTCCAAGATAGATTCACGACCCAACCCTGCCAACCTATGATGACTAAATCACATAAGCACAGGCCGCTTTCGCGCTGCAAACTCTACAGGCATCCAGCCCAGGACGGTCTCCGACCAGAAGGGAGTCAGATTCAGATGCTTTTAGGGATTGTAGGGCGTGGCTTGACAGGTCTTAGGGTGGGCGTTCAAGAACATTGGGTAGAAGGGTTCAGGGGCCTTCAGGATGTCATGCTTAGGGATACAGGATGGGAGGTTTAGGGTTTGAGGGCTGGGCGTGGCATCATAGTGTCGATGGAAACTTGAGGCCCGAGTGTGATGATGAGGAAGTGCATCGACTTTCCCGGCCAACTTAGATGAAGCTGCAACTACAACCACAGCCACAACTGCAACAACTGCAACAACAGCATTGCATCAACAGCAACAGCCCCGACGACAACGCCGCCACGATGTTAATGCCAACAAGCAAACAGCAACAAAAGTAGCAGCAACAGCGGCAGCAACGAAAGCCAACAGCAACAACAGCAATGGCCACACTACGACCGGGACGCCTGTTGCAGCTGCTGGAGCAGCTTGCCACGCTCCACCTCCGATTGCCGAAGCTGGCGTACCAAGGCCTCGTAGCAAGACATTCCGAAATGCCTTGTGATTGTGTTCTTGTATCTGTAAGGCTCCAGGGATCCTGAAGGGGATTGCTCACCGCTCTCAAAATGGTAACTGCAGGAGCAGGGCGCCCATGTTTCCAGCCTGGGCACAAGCTGACTTCTCACCTCTTCCGGATCCTCGAAAAGTACTACCCCCTAAACCCTAAACCCTAAACCCCTAAACCCTAGACCCTAAACCCTAAACCCTAAACCCCTAATCCCTAAACCCTAAACTGTTACCACACCCCCCAAAATCAGTTCCGTGTAAAGGAGCGCCTTGTTGGCCTCCCGAAGCCGCCGCACCTCGGGGGATCTGCGGTTCGTGTAGGTTTACGGTCTAGGCGGTCTAGGGTTTAGGGTTTCGTTTTTTATTTTTTAAGGCTCAGGGTCTTTATAGTCTTCGTTGGTTTAGGGTCTATAGGCTTGCTGGGTCAATACGGGCACTCTTTATACCGGGCCCTTGCATTTCCACGGCGCTTTTCTATCCAGCGCGTGCGCCGCGTTTTCACCAGCCGAATTTGAGCTAACCATCTAAGCCCTAAGAAGCCGGATGTAGAACGATCTTTGCAGAAGGCATGTGCCATGCAGCTTCAACAAGTCTTCGCAGCAATGCCAAATGCCCTCAAGCCACAGCTGTCACGTCTCAATCTATGCTGCACCCTGGTACAAAGCCTGCAACCCAACAGGCCACCTCGTCGCCCATGTTGGCGTTCATGGCTTGCTTTTCCAGAAGATCGGTCTGCGAGTGTGGGCGGCGGACGTGAGGCTGTGAACTTAAATCCGGACACGAAACACGAAAACGAAGCACCACCACGATCAACATCCCCATCCGAATTCGCTCCAGGGCTGCGCAAAGCCAGGGCAACACCCGGATGTCTCAGCAACGGAGCGTTGCACATTCTGCCTAGGATTCCGGTTCAGGGTTTAGGGTCTTGAACCAACGAGCATGAGAAGGCTGCAAAACAAACATGATGGCAAGCTTGCCACGCCCCAGTCCCTGAACTTAGACGCCAAAGCCACCCACCAACAATCATTCATTCCCGGTTCTTGGCGGGTGGTCTGGGACCGTCCTGAAAAGGATCCAAGCGGTATGGAAACCAAATTTGGGCCTCAGCCCTGGAAGGAATTCGTGGGACATGAATGGGAAAGGTCGTGTATGGTCCAGCCTTAGCAGCTAGTCAGCTAGTCACCATTGTGCTGTGCACTCGAAACCACCCTGTCGCAAAGATGCTATTTCGCAGCACACTCCAAACCCCGACAGCCCCCCCTACAGGCCCTAAGCATCCCTAAGCCCTAAACCTAAACCCTAAACCTCTAAACACTAAAACCCCTAAACCCTCAAGTCCACTCTTGGACCGCCTGCAGCACTTGTGCCGCTTCTTCGAAGCTTCTCCCCGCCATTTGATCCCTCCTTCGGGGCCAGAGCTCTGGACGGGCTGTACAGGGCTTCTCGTCTTGCTGAGTTCCTTTGGCCCACGGCTTTAGGGTTTAGGCTTAGGCAGCTCACTTGTCAAATTTGTGGACCGGGTTCATCGTGAGAGCCTGTAGTTTCATACGGATCTTCGTGGCCTTCATCAAAATCTTCATCCCCCTTCGACTAGTAACATTCGACCATGTAGCCACTACCAGGAACACTGAGGCTCCGCGCCTGAGTTCTGGCCGGTGAGCTAAGTATGCTTCGATGGCCTTGCTGGGTTTGCAATCGAATCGACGGGGATTGTGCTTACAGGAGCCCCCCAAAAGGCCCTGTAGGGCAAGGGGACAGTGCCGTGAATTAGCAATTCAGGGATCACTAGCTTAAGTTGCCTGACCTCATGTCGATGACCTTACCCATGGCAAAGGCAGTTCAGGAGTCTGAGGCTTGGTCTGCGAACATGCGTGGCATACCCTTTGCCAGTGGCCGAACCCGCCGAACCCTGCATGGCCCTACATCCTTGAAGCCTCAAGTCGAAACTACGGCTCTGCGACTTGGGTCTTGCAGCTTGCAAGTGTGGATGGCAATCATTGCCGAACCGGGATGTGGGCCCTGTCGGCAAGTCAGACTTGGTTCAGGGTCGCGAGGGCACAACAGTTTAGGGGAGAAGGGGTGCCCATGAGCTGAAACATGAGCTGAAACATGATTCATGACCCTCTGAAGCCCTCATTGCAACATCTGTCATACAGCCACCCTAAACCCTGATACAGCTCCAAGTGAAACTCCAAAATTCGAAAGCGTCGAGCTGGGTCAATAACGGATGTCTTAGTCTAGGGGATAAGCCTGTTTAGTGTGGGTCTGTAGCATGCTGTCTGCTGTCAAATGATGTCAAATGCAGGCCAGAAGGGCCAACCCTGGTGTTGAACAAATGCGGATCGAGGTCTGGACCCGTTGCAAAGCCAACAGTGGCATGAGAGTGGTAGAGGGCAGCGCCAGACCTGGGAGCAGTGGCTTTGCTTGTGTGCCGCCTGTCAGTTACACTGTTGCCACTGGGAACCTCGAGATTGCTGTGGCAACCTTCGCTCACTCTGCTGCGACACCGACCTCGCCTCACCATGAAGACTCTCGACACTCGCTGCGATTCGTTTCAGAAGTGGCGTGTGGTTCAGTTTCATGGGCGATCGGTTCTGCCTCTGCAACCGTCAGAAGTCCCACATGTAAGAGGGCACTTTGCGTTCGCTCGACGCTAGTACGGAAGGTGGTCAGAAGTCGTAATCATCATAGGACTTGGATCGTGGTCACCATCGTTGCCATCATCATCATCATCATCATCATCATCATCGTCATCATCAACAACAACAACAACAACATCATTATCATCCTCATCCTCAATATAGCAGTGTTGCCATCATCATCCATCATGCCACCACCGGCATCACAACCACCATCCTGGTCTTCACTTTCCTCATCATCATCGCTCTCATCGTCAGCGGCGTCGATACCACCGCCTGTGTTGCTCTTGGAAGGTTGATTGCTTCGGTCTTGATCCTGTATTTACACACCCTTGTTGCCATGAAAACCTGGCGAGCAAAAATAATGTGGACAAACCTGGGTTTGCATTGTCAAAGCTTCGCGCCTGTGGTCGGCGACGTAATCTGCTGGTGGCTTTGCCGACGCTCGCGAAACCACCTTGCAAAGAGACAGCATGAAATTTTACTTGTGGAACAGCCTGGTTGACCCACCGCAAAGGAAAGGCAGCTAATCCTCGAGTGGCAAACCGCCTCTCAATGTAGTCCCGCTCGTAAGCGCACCCGTCCACTGTGGCAACTGGGTCGGACCTGAGAAAACAATGGTTAGACGTGCATGCTTCTGAGATATCATGGTCAGAGGCTTCTGTTTCGGCTTCTTCAGAAAGGCGCATGCATGACATGCTTTCCGAACATTGTCTACTGGCTTGCCCCTCCCTCTAATGAAGGGGCACGTCCCGAATCAAAAACTCGTCACCCATTCTCCCTGAGCCCTTCCAGCCCCCAGTATTCACTGTCGCGTCTTCGTTCGCAATGCTCAGTCTATCACATGATCGTCGCGGAAATCGGGCAGAAGAAGCCTCAGCTGCAGCAGCCCTTAATGCAAAAGCACTCCGCAGGCCTGGCTTCCAAGAAGATGCTGACCAGTGAATTAATTCGTGTGGGGTTAATGATCCTCTTGGCTCTTAGCTGGCCGTATAGTACTATGCGCTCCGCTCCTCCGCGCGTGGGCGTGGAGGTCAGCTTTCTCTCTCGGACCCCAGCTCTCCGGCACTGGCATCAGACGAATGCCCTGGTCCTGCGTCCCGCACCCCTATGGAGCAATCGAGGTGTGTGACACCAGATTTCTTTAGCTAATCCCGGGGCACAAACCAAGAACCACAAGGAGTGGTATGATGAGGTCTAAGTACCAATCGCATTTTCCATGATGTGAGCAATTCAAGCCAGAATTCGTGTCGAGTCTTTGAATTTCGAAAGCGAATGGAAGGCAGTTGGATCCGAGCTTCCTTAAATGCCTGGTGGATTTCGCAACTCCATTAGAGAACATGCCTCAGCCACATGATTCTATCAAGTTAGATGACTAGGACCCCCACTAACCTAGGAATAAAACGGGCTCACTTGTTGGTATTGGGTAGTTCTATAAGGAACCTAAGACCACAAAAAGGGAAAAAGGGCCCACTGATCTAGATGACAAGGCAATGAACATGGGCTCTTGGTTTTCGGGTTTAGGTTTTCGGGTTGAGGCTTCAAGAATAGACCCGGGAGAAAACAAAGGGCTCAATGGTTTTCCATTGAAAGGGGAGCCATGGCCCCCTACTGTTCTCACCCACAAGGAGGCGATGTCCATGATGGCCCTAAACCCCAAAGCCCGAAGGCAAACCGTTGAACCTCAAACGCCAAACTGGTTCAAGCAATACGAGATGAGAAATGAAAGCATCTCACTGCTGGTTTCCGACTCTGCATGAGGTGTCGTACGAAGATGCAAACACCTGATCGTGGAATCTATAAACTCTGTTCGTCCGTAGAAAATCCCAAGCCCTAGACCCCAACTGAAGCTTGCAAATACTTCGTGTCTGTGCCGTCCTCATCCAGGAAATCCGCCTCGATACTGAAGTAGCCTCAGAATGGCGATGTGCAATCGGCGCCGGTTCTGTGCACTTCAGTGGCTAGACCCGATTTGTGGAGTCATTCCGCAGGTCACACAGTCACAGGCCGTCTTCAAGTTGTCCCCAATTTCCGGACCCAGGCAGCAAAGTTCTTTAGTGTTCCAGGGACAGGAGCACATCCTCAAGGAAACCACGTGCATCTCCTCTCAAAGTGCAGTCCAGCTCACGCGCGGCACCCTCGCCCCATCTCTCGCCGTACTCAGCCTGCCCGATGCTGCGCGAGAGCTTAGAGGCCTTAGCCCTAGGTGTTGGTGCACTGATGCATGAGCGGAAGGCTCTGGAGGACATGTTCGCGAGCCAACGTGCTCTGGATGATGGCTTTTATTGTCTGGCCGAACGAAGGATGATGATCGTCACGCATGACGACGACAGGAAAGCAATAGTGATATCTGATGCCGCCATGGAAGCGCAAACACGTTCTTCATAATGACTGATTGACTGATTGTCTGCGGGTGCGAACACTCTTGCATTTGCAAGGCACTGGAAACACTATGAAGCAGAGGCAGCAGAGACGCACTAGGACTAGGAAAGCAGAGGCGCGAGACAGACCTGCGCATAAAAGAAATAATTGAACATGAACATGTACGAAGGATAGCAGCGGCATCCGAACCCTCAGCATGCAAGCGTAAAGATCGACAGGAGGAACGTTCAAGCTGCCTGACGGCCCTGCCGTGCTGCGGCATGGTAATTCCTGGGCTGAGGAGGGCCTGGAACCAAAACTCTCCCCTCAGGGCTGTTAGGATGAAAGCTGCAGATCAAGATTGAAATATTGCGAAACCTTCAAAGACAAATAGCCTAAAACAGCGTAGAAGCTCTATAATCTTACAGACATGTGACGATTGAGCCAAGTTTGGTAAGTGAGAGCAACCATCAAATTGTCTGTCAAGGACCTACCCTAAACCCTAAACCCTATAGCCTTTCATTGTAGGTGGAGCTTTCACTGCTCTTTTGGTATGCCGGGGCAGTCGGCTCATGCATTTCTGGATGGCCCCTTGGATCATGCACGGAAGGTGGCGGAGCACTTTTTTTTTCCCTAAC